GAAAATCAACATGCAAACGGGGAAGAAAAGGGAATGGGAGGAGGCACAATACAGCCTAAAAAGATTTGTTTTGCAGGCAGGCAATGGATGACAAAGGGCCGAGCTGGCAGGGATGAAATTGCAAAAAAGTTTTTAAGGAAATGTGGCAGCCTTGGTGCTTAATGGGGGATGCCAGGCGTGAGGAAAACAGGGGCAAAACTCCTGCCTTCTGTTTCTCCCTGGAGGGAGGACGCGTGTCAGGGATCCTGAAAACATTTCCCAGCAGGAGAACCTGGGCTGGTCTTGCCTTCTCTCCTCGGCTGGTTTCTTATTTCAAGACATTAAGGAGGCTCCTAATGCAAGTTCCCTAAAATTTCTCCATTCTATGATTTCCACGGAATATGTTTTTTATTTTCTTTTCCTACCACCTTAAATGTCAAGCATCTCTTCTCTAGAAGCACTGAACTGTGGTAAATATGATTAGGAAATATTTGTATCCCATTTAAAGATAACCTGGAGTGAGTGGGAGTAAACAGACCTACTTGGAGACTTCACCTCATTTCACTTCTCCTTCCCGGTTTCTGCCCTCCTGCTCCCGCTTCTCACCTCCCCAAAGGCTGCCCTGGGAGCTCCCAGCACAGGGAACATTAATGCATCCTCCAGGGCCTGCCTTCCAGAAATTGAGTTCCCACACTAACCCTGATCAGAAGCAAGTTGCCATGAAAGGCTCTGATTTCCTGAGAAATTGAAGAAAGGGGCTTGGTGGGCAGCATGTGGGGGCCCTTCATGCCTTGGAATGAGATTCCAGCAACATCTCCTCTGACAACAACTTGGATGTCACCCATAGGCCCCTTGGAGCTGACTGATAAGATACCACGCTTCGAATGGGTCAGCAGTGGGATGTAAAAATCAGCTGACAGGAGCTCAATAGAAACTTATTAACTTTTAATGCAGAGCAGCCAAGCCTGCTTAAATATTTAAAAGTACAATTCATCACTTGAAAGACCAGTTAGGGCTGCAGAGAGAGATGCTGGTCTTCTGGGATCTTCATTACCGGGATTTTAGCTACCATTGCATCTTGCCCTAAGTATTTATTCATAATAATACTTCTCCCTTATTGAGCACATATTATGTACCAGGCACTATGTGATGAATTTCACATGCATGATGCTGTTTCAACTCCATGATAACTTTGAGAGGCAGAGGCAATGTTGATCATTTTATATACGAGAAAATACAGGTTCAGAGAAGCCAAGGGTGCTGCCCAAGGTGACCCAGCGAGTACATGGCAGAGTCAGAATCTAAACCCAAGTGCATTCGATGCTAAATCCCACACTTTAGGCTTTTGCATTGGTTGTGATGGAGCTACGGGTCCTGCACGTGCCCCACCATCACGGCTATCAGCAAAGGAAAAAGTGGACAAGGCACATGAAACAGCAATCACAGACACTGCAGAGCAGACACCGAAGAAGATTTCTGAGAGATGAGAGGCAAGTGAGTTGAGCCCTAAAGCACCCCAGCTTCAGCCTGCAAGCTCTTTCTGGGTCAGCACAGGAAGGGGACCCAGGGGTAGAAAGGGGCCACTTCACCTAGTTGAAGAAGCAGAGCTGAGCTTGGGGAGACAGAGGAGACTAGAAGCTGCAGGGAGAGTAGCAGAAAACAGAGAGCTCCGCAGAGAAAAAGCTCCAGAAATCCGGGTCTGCTGCTGAACGCTAAACTGTAGGCAGAGGGTGGAAGTCCGTGGGGCCAGGCAAAGAATGACCAAAGAGCACCAATCTCAGAGTTCACGTGGCTGTGCAACTTGAATCTGACCACGTGGGGGAGAGACACCTCACTGAACGTGTAGGGTAACAAGTGACGTCTTTCAAGGATAATGCCTTTTCATGAGGGTAAATTAGCCCTCAAGTAAAGGCTCCTCCAGCCCCATCGTAACAGCTCTAAAAAACAAGCCCAAAGGGATCAAGCTGACTTGCAAGTAACTTAACCACTTGCCAAAACAACTTCAATATCCTTAAAGGGAGATGACGAAATTCAAAAACAAAACATTAAAAGTGTTCAGCATATAACCATGAGCCACCAGACATGCCTATATATTACATTAGATACAACCATATAGAAAAAGGGTTTGTTCTCCCACTTAGGGGAAGGAAAAAAACTGAAAAAAATAAAACTGAAGAAAAAAATGATTTATCTATATCTGTAGATGGATAGTTTTTATATATATAAATATATATAGTAAAATTTTATATATGTGGTTTTTATATATAAAATATATTTTTGAATATTATTTACATATGATATATATTATTTATATATATAAATTTACAATCTTAGAGTAAAATGTGCACATAATGAAGAGAAAAATGAAACATACTAAAAAGAGTCAAAAAATATGAAAATGAATGTATGTATGTATATGCACAACTGGGATATTGTGCTGTACACCAGAGACCGACACATTGTAATTGACTATGCCTCAATTAAATAAATAAATAAATAAATAAATAAATAAATAAATAAAGTCAAAAAGAGGCAAAATGAAAAATTCACTAGGTGGGAGTCGCAGCAGGACAGACACTGTAGAAGAAAGGTTGAGTATACATGAAGACATAGCAATGAAAACTATCCAACCTGAAGCATTCAGAGAAGAAGATTTAAAAGAAGGCTCAGAGCATCAATATCCCATAGGACAATATCAAGAAGTCTGCTGCATGTGAAACTGGAGTTCCAAAAAGAGGACAGCAGTGCAGAGAAACAGTTTTTGAATGGCTGAATTTATTCAAAACTTTATGAAAATTATAAATGCGTAGATGCAAGGGTTTTAACAAACCCCAAACAAGACAAATACAAAGAAAACTGCACTAAAACGCATTATAAATACGTCGATGAAAAATCCGTGATAAAGAAAAATGTTGGGCAGATAGCAATAAGATACGTTATATACAGGGAACTAAGAATAATGACAGACTTTGTGTCAGAAATAACGCAGGAATAAGCAAACAAACTTGGAACGACACCTTTGCGAGACCAAAAGAAAAGCAAATGTCAATGTATAATTCTATATCCAGAGAAAGTTTTCGTCAAACACGAAGGCAAGATTAAAACTTTCCCAGGCAAACAAAAGCTAAAGAATTTTTCACTACCAGACATGCACTACAGGAAATGTTAACCCTAACTTTGACCAAAACATAATTAAACAAAAAATCAGTAACAGATAGCTGTATTCAGAAACAAAGCAACTTACATGTAAATAATCCATGGGTTTATTGAAGAGATCACAAGTTAAATTTTTTAAATATTTTGAGTTGAATGACAATGAAAATACATAACCAAATTTGTCTATTTTTAAGTCATAAAACAACACCTAGAGAGAAATTTACACCTTTCACTGCTAAGAGAGGAAAAAAGGAATAAGATTACAATCAAAGCTAAAAGAAAAACAGTAAATTAAATCCAAAATAAAGCGAAGAACAGAAAAAAATAAAGAGTGGAAATCATGTTCTGATAACACATAATAATAGAGAAAAATTAATAAAGCCAAAACCTGGTTCTTGAAGAGGGCTAGTAAAATTGACAAACCATTAGATAGACTGACAAGAAAACAGGAGCGAAGTCTCAAATCACAAGTACCAAAAATGAAATAAGGGACATCACTATAGATCTTGTCAAAACTGAAAGAATAGTAACTGAATGTTATTAATAATAATTTGCCATTAAATTTGACAGTTTAGACAAAATAGTCCAATTCCTTTAAAGACACAAACCACCACAATTAACACAAAAAAGAAAATCTTAATCATCTTGTATCTATTGAAGGAATTAAATTTCTTATTAAAAATTTCACACAAAGAAAACTCCAGTGCCAGCTGGATTCGCTGGTCTATTCTACCTACTTTTTCTCTTTTAGATAAGCAATGATAGCAATCTTACACGGGTTCTTCTGGAAGATAAAGGAGGGAACACTCCACAACTCATTCCTTGGAAACAGTTTTACCTTGATAACAAAACCGAAGACATGTCAAGGAAAGTCAACTGTAGGCTAATATTCTTGTAAATGTAGATGCAGAAATCCTTTAAAACACATTAGCAAATCAAATTCAGAAATACGTAAAAAGATAGGGTTTATCTCAGAAATGCGAGGTTACTCTAACCTTGGACCAGTTCCCTCAGCAGCCAGTGCACATTGTCACATCCATCCCATTAATGGTGGTAAGCAGTGAACTTCCCCGGAACTCCCTCCCTCTTCCCCTCGTTCCCTCTACAGGAATTCCTGGAGGCCCTGGGCCAGGCTCATATTAGGCAGGGAATGTCTGAACTGAATAAAATCCCGCTGCTCCTTTAGTACCTTGTCACGCAGTGTAGACGCATGGTGCAGCTGTCAGGAAGTGTATGAAAGAGGAGAGGAGTGAGAACCAAGGGGAGCGGAGGGAGTCATTCATTTGGGGGCCCAGGGGAGAAAGACCAAGGGAGGCCGTGGAGAGGGAGACATTTGATTTGGGCCTTGAAAGACCAGCAGGTTCAGAGTATCCCATCACATGTCATTTAATTGATGTGCCTCCAACTATATATGTTCAGAAATAAATAATTTTTCACCAGCAGTATAAGCAGTGCATACAAATTTTCCCCAACATACTTCTGCATGAGTGTCTGATCGCAGAAGATCCTGAGTGAATTTGTGTTTTCAGCCTTAGCGGCAGGTGGCAACTTCAGAACAAGATCCTCTGTGGGATGTCACCCTATGCATTTGCCAGGAGGACAAGCTTGGAGGGAGGGGACAGTCTGGGCAAGGGGACCAGCAGCAACAAAGCACAGAGGCGTGACAGGCATGTACTCTCCAGACGGAAGTCGGAGGGGGCTCCTGAGGCCGGAGCACCAAGTGTGGGCAAGCGATGGAGAGGGAGGGGCACAGACCAGACTTTTAACTCCAGGGTAAAGAGTGTAAAATGTATTCCAGAGGTCAGAGTTGCTCACTGACCTGCTGGCCTTGGCCTTGAGATGTCTAAGCAGCCAGAGCCGGGGGAGGGGAAGGGCAAGGCCAAGTTGGTCCCTCCCCACTTCAACCCGGAAGCTCTGCTGCTATGAGTTTGAGCTCTGAGGGCTCCATGTCAGGTCCTATTTGAGAAAAAGGGAGGTGAGCCTTAACGGTAATATAAAAATACATATAAAACCGTTGAGTAAATTACATTTAAGGCCCTCTCTGGCGGTCTAGAGTCTTGGCACACAAGATGCAGGCTGAGGAAGACCAGTCTCCCGCACACAGAGCTCCAGTCGCCTGGATGGAGAGTCCTGGGGTCAGCAGGGGGCCCCAGAGCCTAGAAACTGCCACTGCTGATTAGAATCTCACCACCCTCCTTCAGGGGCAACTGAAGACATCCAACTGGGTTATACCATCCTGAGGGACAGGGCGGTGCCCCTTTCAGAACCCAGCACCCGCTGGGACAGAGTAGATCCAACAGGGACACCGCCCTGGGTATCCCTGGCTGGGGCTTTGGATGGAGGTCAGCCCACCACTCGCTGCAAACTCAGTTCCCATGGTGGGTGCAGTAAAAATGCTGCTGTTAAGGACAGTGTTTTCACTTCTGGGGTCCCGGGCCTTCCCCTGCCACCTTCTTAGTGGATTACATCGGACTGAGTACCCCAGGACAAAAGCCCTGAATCACCCTCCCAATAACCCGCCTCCTGACAGATGCTAACTCACTGCAAGAAGCCAAGGGCCCTCACTACAGGGAGTTTGCACAGAAGTGGAAGTATCTTTAACACCCTATTGATGGCCGTGCCCCCCATTGCTCGGTGACACAGCTGAAACAGTAAAAGGCATCGATTTTCCAGAACCGAGCTGTGAGCTCGCTATCAAGGAGGGTGGGGGCCACAGTGCAAGAGGGCAGTTTTACAATGAAATGATGGTTATTGTTCTCCTGGTAGCATTTCTCCTGTGCCGCCATGGTGGACGGCTCTCCGAGTAACAGCAGATTTGTATTTCATTAGAACACTTTAGTCAAAAGATCAATGATGCTCGGGGAACCGCTCTGCTGGCCCACAGCGGGGGGTGAGCCTGGTGAGAAGCCTGCAAAGAACCAGCTAAAATTAGGCAGTTGCTGACAGACGCTGGATTCACAATCACAGCGCATCGATTTCCAGAGTGACGCTGAAACCCAGTGACTCTAATTGGGCTCCTTGTTTTGTCCTTGTGAAGAGGGGCCTTTCATAATGAAGTGGTGCTTCTTTTGTAATGAAGTGGCTCCCTCTCTGGGGAAATGGAGCTATTTGAAGGCAGGCTCAAGATTTGACAGCAGCCCCTAAGGAAAATCAATACTTACTCGCCCAGCTACTGACCGGCTGAGTGACCTCTGAGGTCAGTCTCTCTGGCTCCATTTTCCTTGTCTGTAAAATGAGCACAATGAAACCGCATCAGAAGATTGCTCAGAGATTTGATTATTTAATTCATGCGAGGTGATGGGCACAGGCCTGGCACAAAGGAAACACTCATTGTCTGGTGACCATTATTGTCTACATTAAGCATCATTTACTTCTGGACACTCACTGCATGCCCCACATGCACCATGTGCCTCCCAGACCTCATCTCACTCAGTCCTCAAAACCACCGCGCAGGGTGCAATTTCCATTTCAGGGATGAGGGAACTGAGGTCCAGGGAGCCGCAGTGAATTACCAAGTGGGTGATGAGGTGGCAGGTCTGGGTTTCAAGCCTGGATCTGTCTGATGCGCACGCTACTCTTTCTTCTTGCTACTCGAAGTATGGTCCTTGGACCGGCAGTGTGGACATCACCTGGGAACTTGTTAGAAATGCAGATTTAGGTCTCACCTCAGACCTGAGGGATGAGAAGCCATAGTTTTACAAGCCCCCCGGGGGCTCCTATGTTCCTTTTCCTCTGAACAGCCTGCCCTGACCCCCAGAGCATCAGCCCACCTCCTCATCCAGCTCAGTCCCCTCTCTCTCCCACAGCACGTCCTCCTCCTCTTCCTCTGCTCTTCCTCTGGCAGCCACCCGGCCACGCCATCTTCCCAGGGCTCCTCCACCCCCAGGCTCTTCTCATCTCTGCCTGACAACCTGCTAGCCTCTTCCTCCCTCTGGACTCTCAGCATCTGTACACCTGTCAGGAAGTGGCCCCTCTCAAGACCCCCTGCCAGTTCTCCTGCTGACACTGGTCTGTGACACTGACTCCCCCACCCCCCTGCACCTCACTCCTACTTCCCCACCGTTCTCATGGGTTTTCTGATAGTTTTGTGGGGCACCACAGTTCAGGGAGAGGAGGACCAGCTTTAGAGTGAGACAGATCCATGTTTAAATCCAGGTATTTCTAAGCTCTTTGCAAGTTATTCAGTTGCTCTGAGCCTCCATCTCTTAAGATAATGGTATCTTCCCAGCCTACTGGGATAATAGAGGGTGGGGTGGAAATAAACTCATTCCTTCACTGTAATAGTGAGCAGGGAAAGCGGACCAGACTCGGGGTGGGGGGGGCCAGGGAGGGGAGGCTGGGGAGAGTTGTCTTCCTTCCTGTCCTGCTCTGTGCCCGCGGGCCATCTCTAAATATATCCAATCTGACCCCCTGCCAGGCACGTGGTAGGCCTGCATCCTGGCACTCTTTGGCTGGATGATGTGACCAGCGCTGGCCAGTGAATCGTGAGCAAGAACGTTACTAGTTTCTAGATCCAGCATTTAGTTGCTTATGTGAGACCTTTCAGAGCTCACATTTTCCTCTGGCACATATGTGAGGTGGTGGCCGCTCTGTCACCTGAGGTCCCTGGGTGACCACAGTAAGCAGAGCCTCCCCCACCGACATCAGTTGCCCTGATGATGCTGAGTGGGCCAGGGATGGGCCTGGGGCGGCGATGGGTCAACTAGCCTCTCGATTTCAGCACTAGGCACTTGCTTTGTACCAGGCCCTGTGCTGGACACTGGGGCACAAAATGAATGAGACAGACCTTGCCCTTGGGAGCTTCATAGTCTAGTGGGAAAATAAGGTGTAAAATAACAAAGAAAAATGAATGTAAAAAAGCACATGATAAACAGGAAGGCGCTAAGGACAGGGAGAAACGGTGTAACACAGGGGTTGGTAGCGGGCTGTGGACAGCCTGCATGCACATCACAGCTCTGCCACTTCCTGGCTGTAAACGGGACCAAATGGCTTAACATTTCCGTGCCTCAGTTTTCTCATCTGTCAAATAGGGCAGTTAACAGGCTTGCTTCATTGGTGTGTTGTGAAAACACTGGCACTGTTCGCAGAAAAGTGACTTACACAGTAAGAGCTTAAAAATATTATTTACTAGAATTGTATATATTAATATCTTATGTTTTTATAATGGACTTGAAGACAGCTGAAAAGAGGACCACAGGATGGTGAGGTGATTCAAAATCATGTCACCAACAAGGATGTGTTCAGTTAGCTATTGCCATCAAAACCCTTGGGAAGGAAGGTGACCCCCAAAGTCAACAGCTTGAAATGACGGTCCCAGGAGTGGGTGTGAGAAGAAGCTGGAAGGAGACTTAGAATCCTGAACCTCAGCTTCAGCTGAGCCACTCACTAGCTAGAGGGTCCTGGGCAAGTCACCTCCCTCTCTGAGCATCAGTTTCCCCCAGACCTCCTCTAGTTTCTCTAGCGATGTTTATAGCGCAAATGTTCGAGAAGCACAAAGTTCCTGGGACCAAGTCAGGCCAATGACTCAGAAACCTAGAGAGCTGTGGACGGCACTCATCCCCAGGCAAGTGCCTTCAATGCCCCAGGCATGCTGCTGTATCACAGGGAAGCAGGCAGCACCCTCACCCCCAGGAGCACACACTGGGGGACGGGGGGGTCATACAGGGGAGAAGTAAACGACAGAGGAGAATGGAAGGCAAGGATTCCTGTTCATTTTTGTTCAACGCCGAAGCCCCAGTTTCTAGAACAGGGCCTGGTGCACAGAAGGGGCTTATTACCTTTCTGATGGTCATTGCTGCTGCTGGTGCTTTGACAGATGGAGGCCTGGGTGTTTGTTTTTGGAGCACAGAGGAACTGGCCAGGCCTTGGCGAGGATCAGGATGGACTTCCCATTGGAGATGGTGTCCAAGCTGAGGCCTGAAGGATCAGTGATCATGAGCCAGGGGAAGGGGCCCCCACCCCCGATGCTGCCACAGGTGGTGGAATCACACACGCATAGGACAGGGGTGAGAAAGAGCTTGCGCCTTCCAGGAGCTACAGGCAGCTCTGTAAGACTGTAGGGAGGCTAAGGTGTGCTCAGGTCTCCACCATCAGTAACAGAGCTGGGATTTGACCTGAGAGAGTCCAATTCCTGAACCAGTTTTCACTTTATCACTAGTAGACTTTTCATATTAAGGTTACTAGATGGAGACAAAGAAAAGAGACTTACAGATGGTTGAATCAATGACCCGAGGGCCAGAGCTGTAGCTCAAATCCAGACAGTCTGATCCCAGCACACACATCCTATGCATCGTGCCATCCTGCCTCCCTTGGTGCCTACATGGAGATCACCTGTTGCCTGTGAACCACAGCCTCAGCTCAGACCCGAGGGCAGGGCATGGGTCGAGGTCTCCCAGGGCTACAGGATGCCCCGAGCCTTCCTGATGGGCTCACAGCACCACAACCGGTACCTTTAAAGGAAATGTTCCACTGGCCTGGGAGAACCAGTTGGTAAGTTTCCTCTCCTTGTGTTGGGACAGGGCAGGGCGGGGCCACCCTGTAGTGCCAGCTGGTGCCTCCCAGTCCCATGGGACCAGCTGGGCAGCAGAAGCACCAGATAGATTCAGCATGGGTCCCACCCTGGGGAGTGGTCATGGGAGCCGCAGGGGATGGTGTAGGCTATGGAGGCCTTCCTTGGCAGAAGCCGGAGTAGTCTGTGCTGGCCCAGAACTTTACAGTTTGTGAAGTGCTGGTACATGCACACACCTCCACCAGAAGATAAAAACCTCCCTCAGAAGCAGGTGAACTGACATGCTGATCCTTGTTTGCAGACCCCACCCTAAAAGGGGTGTGACCCACTTCCCCAGCCCCACTCTGGCCTCTCCAGTATTGCTCAGAGTCTCTGATGTGCCCAGCAGGGATAGTTTTTTACCTGGTGATGGAAAGAAGATTTGGAATGGCTGGGTACTGTGAGACCCCTCTGAGCGCCCCAGGAACGTTGACCAAAGAGCAAAAGGAAGACGGAAGAGGGCAGGTGTCCCCACGTGGTACAGCTGACAGGCACCTTTGTGGACACCTATAAGGTGTGTTTTCACCTGGGTCTTCCAGCATAGCCGGGGCAGACGTGAAGGAGGTCCAGCAGAACGAGACAGCTGAATACACGACACCGGACACTGGACAGAGAGTCAGCCGGAATTTGTCTCATATGCTCAGAGCTCGAGGAGGAGGATGCCGCCTGCCGTGCAGGGCCACACAGGAGTTGCACTTGAGAGCAGAGTGAACCGGCAGAGGTTGTGGGAAGAAAGCTTTGCAGTAATAAGGGGAAGAGGTGATCACCCCCCACCCAGCCCCTTGTTGCTGTGGGAGGATGTAATTGGTTTATTTGAATAATTCTGTGTTGGCAGGGAACTGAAGCCCATTAGGCTGAGGACCAAGTGGAGTGTAGCTAGTCTAGCCCATAGCAGAATTAAATGGGTGAGGGGCCCTTCCTGCTGGGTTGGGGGGCAGATCTGAGGAGAGCAGGGGAACCCATAGGGCCCTGTATGGCTCAAGGATGTCAAAGTAGTGCTTGAATTTTGGGGTCTTACAATACACACAAGGTCCAAGATCAAGGGCATCTGAGATGTTTTACAGGAATTAAATTCGAAGGTCAAGTTCACTGTAGCAAACACTGTCAGTTCTCCACTCATATCCCCACGGCTCCCCCCAGAGGTCACCGTCAGCTTTGGTAGTCAGTTCCCTTTCCTGCTAACAGCTCCCTGCCTCATATCCGTGCGTCTGTCTTTTTAAGGGCTCCCTATGTTTGCAGCACTGGCTCCATCCACGGCCAGGCCAGGGCAGGACGCGGCCTCAGGAGTCAGAGGCTCCAGGGCATCTCTCAATTATCTGATAGACCCCTAAATTAGGCGGCCCACGGAAGAGTGGGTTCTTGCCGCCCTCTGTGAAAGAATTCAAGGCAGAGACAGAGGAACACAGTGAATGGCTGTTTTGTTTTTATTGCTTAGAAGAGGGAAAAAAAGAAAGGTGCTCTAGCAGGGAGTTATCAGCCAAGACGGCCAGTTGAGACAGCTCCAGCCACGACTCAGGCCACGTGGACTTTTATGGGAGGCTTCCACCATCACGTCTTCCTTCTGGGTGTGATGGAGACAATCACCTTGTCTTCAGTCCTAGGAAGGACTTTCCCAGTGGTTATCACAGTAATTGTCAACTGTCATGGCGCTGGTGGGTGTGTCACTTAGCATGCTAATGCATTACAATGAGCATTCAGTGAGGCTCAAGGTCCAATGGTAGTAAGATCCTCTGCCATCTTGGGCCCAGTTGGTTCTAACCAGTTCTTATTTCTTCTCTTTGCATCTGTCTCCTAAGACTTAGATAAAATTGGTTTCTATTCAAGGCAGAGGCAGGGGTATGATCCTGGGGGCAATAGCCTTGGTAACAAAAGGAAAGTTGCTTTTAATTAGAATGCCAGCAATCTGGTGGACCCAGAGTGCCCCAGAAAACTGTCTCCAAAGATTCTACTCAGCCATAAACAAGAGACAGGGATTGGGGTGCCTTAGTTTCTGCAGAAGAACTTAAAGATATTATTAAGTTCAGACCTGCTAGGTATCACCTCAACTAATGAGCAAAGACAGAAATCAGGGGTAAAACTCTAAGCTAACGTGACCATCAGCGGGACAATTCCAAGATGTGTTCTACAAAGTGTCTCTCACAGGCACGCAAGCTGGTTTTATCTCCAGTTATCCACAGTGCTAACTGTGGAGCTGGCTGGCACGCTCTGGAGTCATAAAACCCCCACCCTTGGGCTCTCTGTGTGCCTGGAGCCTACTGACACCTTAACCCCCACTCCCTACCACAGGACCCTCTGCATACCTGCATTTCTGCAGAATAAAAACATCTCTTGATATGTGTTTACCCTAAAAAAACTCATCACCCCAGGAGACAGCCAGTCTCACAATAACCTAGGGGGCAGCTCTCACATCCTGCCCTTGTCAAAGTGTAAAACCTATTGTTCAGAGCCATCCCTGACAGATCTTAGCAATCAGGTACCTGTGCATGAACTGATCAGGCAGCCTCTACTCCTTGTGTGCACAGCCTCCTCCCCAGTATGAGACCCTGCACGCCCACCCTCCGTGCCCTGCCTGTGTGACCTGCTGCTGCCTATAGCAGCGTCCCTATTAAAGTTTCCTAAACTTTTCTTGGTCTCTGGTAATTCTTTATCAAGCCACGTGTCACTGTCACCGTGTTGTGTGCCCACAATACTAACCTGCTCGTTAATGCATATTACACTGACCTTCCTTCCTTCCCTCTCTCCCCTCCTCACTCTCCGACCTGGTGTCATCTCCCAAATAAAGAAATTGCACTCAAGCTTTTATCCCAAAATCATCTTCTGGGGAAGAGACCAAGATAGTCACTCATGTTTCGCAGTGCCTGCCACGTCATTTTTCATCTAGCGGAATTTTCATCACTTGTCACTGTAGCTGGGATGCACCTCCCACTTTATGGACGGGGAAACTGAGGCTGAGAGAGGCTGAATGACTTGCCAAAAGATCAGCCCCCGTCCCTGATGAGCCAAACAACTCAGAGACAAGGTCTTGGAGCTTAGAAGAGAAGAAGCAGCTTTATTGCTTTGCCGGGCAAAGGGGACTCCCAGCGGGCTGGTGCCTTCCAAACTGTGGCCCCACCTTGGGGATGGGACAGGGTGGTTACACATCCATAGCTCAAACAATGAAGCATTGATAACATTCAACAGAATCATTTTCTTCTCCTAAGACTCAGAGTGTCCTCATGGTGTCTCCAGGTGACCAGTTCTATAGAGGCTAGCGGTTGTCACTCTTTCCGTCTCTTTCTAAGTGCCCAAGGCGTGGTCTTCTTGGTATTTCAGCCCATATTGTAACAGTCCCATGACCTTTTCCCTGGAGAACCACTCAGAGACCAAGCATGATTATTACTTTCAATTACTGGTATAAAGCGGGAACAGTAATAATAGCTTTCGTTTTAACAATCAGCCTGAAGCTGTGAGTAGGAAGCGGTCAGTCAGGGTGGTGGCCATTTTAAAGGCAAGCATGAGAACAAGTGATCTGTTAGCCTAAGTGCAGCCATTTTATTAACTCTCTTTTACTCTCTCTGTTCCAAACTCCCGACGTTTTGGTTTGTTTGGCCTCAATGTACGTCCGGCACATGAACTTGTGTCCGGTAGGAGCTGGTGGAAGAGCCCAGCCCAGAACGCAGGCCTCCAGTTCCAGTGCTGCACCTGCCGCCTGGAGCCTCTTGGAAACGAAAGGAAACCACTGAGGCTAAGATGTAAGAGACCCCGTGATGGGATCTGAAATGCCTGTGCCCAGATGCTCTGCCCTGCCCATCGCAAGGAATTTAAGGAGAATGGAGATCCTTACTCTCCAAAACGACTCTCACTCCCTTTGTTGTGGTGCCTGAAATTCCAACCTGAAAGTCAGCACTGAGATCTTTTAAAATGTAAACATTCCTGGGAGAGGGTGTTGGGAGCCGTCTCAGAGTGCGCGGCCTCATAAAGAGTCCAGTGGTGACCAGGGCTCCAGCTCAGGGCTCCTGCCTCCTGGTGTCCGGCTGCTTCCTCCATCCTCCATACTAATGACGTTAACAGCTGCCTGCCATTTCAGTCAACAAAGGACATTGCAGCCGCCCCACCCCAAAAAGTGCGCCCCAAGGGGATTCAGGATGGAGAAAAACAGGATTCTGGCCCTGGATAGTTAAGGTGTATATCAAAGGAATCATTTCAGTGAGCCCAGAGTCTTTCATCTTCCCATCGACAGCAAAGCACTAAAGTCGTCAGCTTGAGATGTCTGGGTTTTGTGATTAGCAGTAATCTTTTGATGTTCAACCAGTGGTTGTTTTGGGGGGGTTTTTTTCCTCCCTTACCTCTTTGGAACAGTTTCTCAGAGCTCTCTGAGAAGCTGGTTCCCAGGCTACGGTTCTCAAGAATGGCCCAAATAACACAGAATTCTCAACTTTTAGGTTGTGTTATTTTTTTTTCAGTTGACGCAACAATACCAAGTACCCATGTGGCATAGGCCGCAGGTGGGCGCAGTTTTAAACTCTCTGCACACAACCCATTTGATCCTCACAACTAGCCTATGAGGTAGGAACTTTTCATAACCCCATTTTGCAGGGGGGAAACTGTGGCACAGAGAATAGGGATGTGACACATAGGGTTACACAGCTCATAGGTGATGGAACCAAGATTTGAAGCCAGGCAGTGAGTTCAGCTGTGACCCCCTCTGTTTTGCTCCCCAACACGTAACTCACCTGGCTGGGTGCTCAGAAACCTCAGCAGCACCTCTGCCCCCAGTTCTGGCTGCAACTCCTACCCCAGCAGCAGAGGGTGACCGGCATCCGTTATTGGAAATGAAGGCACGAGGCCCATCAAGCTGATAACTATCTTTCCATTGTCCTGGATGGCCAGCTTCTCCCCCACCCCAGCTGGGGGCCAACCACTC